TTTTTTTTTTTTTTTGAGGCAAGGTCTTACTCTGTCACCCACTGGTGCAATCTTGGCTCACTGCAACCTCTGCCTTCCCTGCTCAAGTGATCCTTCGGCCTCTGCCTCCCAAGCAGCAGGGCCTATAGGCACATGCCACCACACCCGTTAGTTTTGTAATTTTTTTTTAGAGATAGAGTCTCACTTTGTTGCCAAGTCTTCCTTTTGTTCTTTACCCAGTGTTAGATTTACATTGTGGTCTGGCAATTAGTTCTTCCAGCTCCTCTCCTGTTTTCTCTCACAGTCATTTCTCCTAATAAACAAGTAATTCTGAATTTGCATTTTTTTCTAAGAGGACCTGCATTAGCACATCACCCTAAAAACTTTGCTTATGCCAAATTCAATTTAAGGATGTTTATTCAATGTGAGACACAGATATGAATATTAAAATCAAGTACAGATGCCAAGACAATTCAATGAAAAAAGAACTGTCTGTTTAACAAATGATGAATGGTGCTAAGAAAACTGGATGTGCACATGAAAAAGAGTGAAGTTGACCCCCTACTTTACACCATATACAAAAGTATCAAGTAGAAGGTATTTCTATGTCTCAAATTCATAAGGCATTAATATTCGTTGTATATAATCCAAGTGAACAAGGAAAATATAGCACCTGTAAGAGAAGAAAATGGCATAGTTTACAGAAGAGGCTATCAAGCATTTTGAAGAAATGCTCAAACCTATTAGAAATCAGAGAAATTTAATTATGACAGTGAAATATCGGTATGTGTTTAATGGAATGGCAAGACTTAGAATGATTGATCATGGCAAATGATGGTATGGAAATGAGTGGTTACACAACAAACTTTATTCCGTGCTTTTGAGAATATGGAATGGTTCAACCATTCAGGAGAGCAATATAGCTATCAATATTATTTGTAAATGTGTAAGTATATGACTCTGCTATGAACCAGCAACTACACTTACCAATATGTGTCCTAAATAAATTTTCATAAATTTCTATGAAGATGTATAGTGATGTTCCTAGCATTGTTATTGCCAATGGCAATCTAGGTGTCTGTCATGGAATAATAAACAGATAAAATATTTTGGGTGTAGACGATTAGTTCTATAAAATAGGTTAGCATATGCTGGAAACATGGATGAACATACTGCTGAGTTTTAAAAGTCTTAAAAATTTAGTTCTGGCAGGGCATGGTGGCTCACACCTGTAATCCCAGCCCTTTGGGGGCCGAGGCAGGCTGATCATGGGGTCAAGAGATCGAGACCATCCTGGCCAACACGGTGAAACCCATCTCTACTAAAAATACAAAAAAATTAGCCGGGCGTGGTGGCACGCGCCTGTGGTCCCAGCAACTCGGGAGACTGAGGCAGGAGAATTGCTTGAACCCAGGAGACGGAGATTGCAGTGAGCCGACATTGCACCACTGCACTCCAGCCTGGTGACAGAGCAAGACTCCATCTCAAAAAAAATAAAATTTAGTTTTATGACCTAACATGGTTTACATAAACCAAAAATGTGCATACACAACCACATCACATGCATTTTGCACAAAACACACACAAAGTGGAACACAACAAACAAAATATGGGGCTGGTGGAGGACATGAAAGTTAACATTTTGTTAATTGTTGTCTATGTTTATTTTAAAGTAGGAATTTATATTTTTTAAATGTTTCATTATAATGTTCCTCATAATGTTTTCTAAATATTTTTAGTGATGTTCCCTTTTACTTCTGAAATTGGTAATATGTAATTTCTGTCTTTTTTGTTTACTGTCTCTGAACTTTGTCAATTTTATTGTATTTATAGAATGATTTTTTTTGCTTTTTAAGATCCATTCAATTTCGTTTTCTGTTTCACGAATTTCCTCTTTATCTTTTCTTTCTGTCTGGTTTGGTATTTGTTTATTAAATTCCTGAGATGAATGTTTTTATTTTTATTTTTTTGTTCAGCTTACCTTGTGTTTTAGAACAGATGCTCTTCAGCTTACAATGGGTTTACATTCTGAGGAGCTTACTCACTGTAAGTTGAAAGTGCCCCAAGTCAAAAATGCATTTAATACACCTAATCTACCAAACATCACAGCTTAGGCTAGCCTACCTTAAAGGTGCTCACCATATTTACATTAGCCCCCAGCTGGGCGAGGTTTTTTTGTTTTTTGAAAGGGAGTCTCACTCTGTTGCTGAGGCTCGAGTCCAATGGTGCGATCTTGGCTCACTGCACCTGCTGCCTTGCAGGTTCAGGCGATTCTCCTGCCTCAGCCCCCAGAGTAGCCGGGACTGCAGGTGCCTGCCATCATGCCCAGCTAATTTTTGTATTTTTAGTAGAGACAGAGTTTCGTTATGTTGGCCAGGCTGATCTCAAACTCCTGACCTCAGGTGATCCAAGGGCAAAGTTATCTGACAAAAAGAAGCCTATTTCATAATAAAGTGTTGAATATCTCATACAATTTATTGAATAAATGTTGAAAAGGAAAAACAAGGGTCGTATGGGTATTGTACTCAGTGTGTATTGCTTTGGCACCATCCTGAAGTCAAAAAATCTTAAGTGAAACATTGTTAATCCTAGGACCTTCTGTATATGACTCCAAGGCTTTCTGTTTCCTTCTAATTATGTATTAAAAGCTCCCCTCTTTATCAGTGTTTTTTTTCTTATGAGTCCGTCAACCAATTTTTTTTTTTTTTTTTTTTTCTTTTTTTTTTTTGAGACGGAGTTTCACTCATGTTACCCAGGCTGGAGTGCAATGGCGCAATCTTGGCTCACCGCAACCTCCGCCTCCTGGGTTCAGGCAATTCTCCTGCCTCAGCCTCCTGAGTAGCTGGGATTACAGGCACGCGCCACCATGCCCAGCTAATTTTTTGTAGTTTTAGTAGAGACGGGGTTTCACCATGTTGACCAGGATGGTCTCGATCTCTTGACCTCGTGATCCACCCGCCTCGGCCTCCCAAAGTGCTGGGATTACAGGCTTGAGCCACCGTGCCCGGCAACCAATTTTTCTTTATAAATTTGCTTTATATTATGTAAGGCTATTATTGTTGATAGAAAATTTTCATTATTATGAAGTGTTTCTTTGTATATCTTTTTATTTTACTCATTTATTTATTTATTTTTTTGAGACGGAGTCTTGCTCTGTCTCCCAGGCTGGAGTGCAATGGCCTGGTCTCGGCTCCCTGCAAACTCTGCCTCCCAGGTTCAAGCGATTATCCTGCCTCAGCCTCCCAAGTAGCTGGGATTACAGGTGCCTACCACCATGCCCAGCTAATTTTTGTATTTTTAGTAGAAACGGGGGTTTCTACTAAAAATGCTGGCCAGGCTGGTCTCGAACTCCTGACTTCGTGACCCGCCCGCTTTGGCTTCCAAAGGTCTGGGATTACAGGCTTGAGCCACTGCCCCAGCCTTTCTTTGTATATCTTAAAGTGTTATTTTCTTCAAGGATTATTGTACATTGTCCAATATTATTTTAAAATTAGAGAAAGAATATGAGGCCTAGGATGACAGTCTCTTTCTCGAGTAGAATATTTTTATTTGTTTTTGTCAGGTACCTGCAAACACTAAGAAAAAAGGTTTACTATTTTCAGGTAAGAATGTGATTTCAAGTTTGGCTTCGGACCCCTACTGAAGACGATCTATTTGCCTTTTATCTTTACTCCTGTAGTGCAGCTATTCGGGTTTTACTAGGTACCCTTCTCCTCCCGAACTCCAATTTCTTCCCCGAGGCCCTTGAATAACAGAATCGGTAGGTACCACTAAGAAAATCACTAACACTCTAAAATTGCAAAACTTGTCTAAGATTCCCTCTAGCTTTCTAGGATACCCGGAAGCTCAGGTTGCTCGGAAGTATACCCGCTGCAAGGGGCGGAACGATGGTCGTTCCCCCGCCCCCGTTCTCCGGCATTCTGGGAAGTGTAGTCAGGGATCCGCATAGCCTGGGGCACTTCCGCTTTTGGAACGCGGTGCTAGGGAATTGTGGGAAGTGGTCCGTGATTTCTCTTTAGTCGCTGGAAGGTTCTTTCGCTGGAGGGCTCAAGGAGATAGTGTTTGGATCCACGGAGACCCTCCAGGTTTTCTCAGCCTCGTCGGGGAGCAAGCGGGACCCTGGTCCTCGTCTCGAGGAGGGCCCGAGAAGCTGTTGCCAGTTGAGAGGATGGAGTTGGGAGCAGTTTGTGTTCTTTCCTCCCGGCTGAACCTCCGGTTTGAAGCGGTTCGTGCGTCCCGGGGTTGGGAGTGTCCTGGGCCGTTTGTCGCCTGGCTAGAGGATCTGGCGTTCCGCAGCCAGCCTCTCCCACCTGCTTGCCAGCTCTGCCACTCACTAGTGTTACAATGTTTTGAGAATTAATCTTTGTCCCGTTCTCATTTCTGAAGTAGAGAGTCAGTAGGAGTCTCTTATACTTTTATACGAATTATTCATTAAATGACCAGAATAGCCATATGCGGTAGGCACCCCTATATTCTATTTTAACAGAGAAAGAAACGAAGGTAATAGTCCTCTCTATACAACGTAGAAAAGAAAGCTGTCTTATTGCTGAATGAGGACAACTACTTTATAGTATTATAGATAATCTGAAGAAAAATATTGAGAAGTTCCACCCCATGTATAGTCAAGCAATTTTAAACTTTTTATACCATTCTCTTGTGGGATTTCAGAGACTGGAGAGACCGTTGAGGATATGGAAGGAGTTTATTTTAGGTATACACTGGCCCAGCTGGTTCCCTGACGGGAACAAAATGGCTGAGCCCTTAACAAAGGCAGGGCTTGACTTTTTTTTTTTTTTTTTTTTTTTTGAGACATAGTCTCACTCTGTCCCCAAGGCTGGAGTGCAGTGGTGCAATCTCGGCTCACTGCAACCTCTGCCTCCCAGGTTCAAGCAGTTCTCTGCCTCAGCCTACCGAGTAGCTGAGATTACAGGCTCCCGCCACCAAGCCCAGCTAAGTTTTTTGTATTTTTAGTAGAGACAGGGTTTCACCATCTTGGCCAGGCTGGTCTTGAACTACTGACCTCGTGATCCACCTGCCTCAGCCTCCCAAAGTGCTGGGATTACAGGCGTGAGCCACCGCGCCTGGCCAGTTTGATTTCTTATACGTGAAGTACGCAGTGGCACTAAAACAAGTTTGCAGGTGTAGAACAAAGGCAATTCATTACATAATGATAGGCAACTAACTTAGGTTAACATATGACTGTTGCTGTTCGACCCAGATGTTTGCTGTCTGCAGAGCTCAAGGATTTTAGCACAGGCCTTATCTATTGCCTTCTGCTACAGTGCGCAGAAGGCTGGAATCCTGCCTGATTGGGAATTTCTCACGACCTTCATTGTGTTACAGAAACTTACAGTTATTAGCTATAGAGAAGAAGAATACAATAATTTATAAACTTCTTACAAAGCAGGATACAATCCCACAAGAGGGGGAAGGAGTCAGGGAAGTTTGCTTATAAAAGAAAACTTTAATTTCTGCCTTTCATTCCTGCATTTTTATTTGTTTTTCTGTAGCAGGACACGCCACAGACAAAACCTCTTGGACACCAGGTTTGTGAAGGAAGTGGCTTTTTATTCAGCTGGGAGTCTCAGCAGACTTGCATCTCAAGAACTGGGCTCCCTGGCTAGAAAATCCTGGCCTCTTTGAAAGGCTCACAATCTTAGAGGCTACATGTGAGAGGGTCGTGATCAATGAGGTAAGCAAGGGATATGTGACTTAGGTGGGGGTCTAATCGTGATTAAGCAAGAACAATGCCTTTTGGGGAAGATTCCTCCATACCATGCCTGTGATCTATAGATAGGAACTAGGGTGAGGGTTTGATCTTTAACCTTCAGGTTCAGCTAGTGGCACCGGTTTTGTCTCCTCCACTGGCCTTGTGCCTTCTGCAACATTTACTTCTCCTTTTGAAATGCAATGTAGAAGGCTGAGGGGAAGTGGTCTCCTTCCTCACCTCCTCTTCAGTTCTACTTTTGACCACTATGTACATCAGTTCTCAAGATTAATCATCTTTCAATAAGAAGACTTCGCCTCATCATTTACTGCAAATTCTTTCATAAATTTATTCTAAATTTACTCAAGAATCCAGTCTAAGTTAACTAACTTTATCCAAAGTAATAATAAAACTTCTCTTACCTCATCTGCCAGCCGATTTACAGCTCAAAGAAAGGCACCTTGGTTAAACTCTTTTTTTTTTTTTTTTTTTTTTGAGACGGGGTTTTACTTTTGTTACCCAGGCTGGAGTGCAATGGCGCGATCTCGGCTCACCGCAACCTCCGCCTCCTGGGTTCAGGCAATTCTCCTGCCTCAGCCCCTGAGTAGCTGGGATTACAGGCACACGCCACCATGCCCAGCTGAATTTTTGTATTTGTGGTAGAGACGGGGTTTCACCATGTTGACCAGGATGGTCTTGATCTCTTGACCTCGTGATCCACCCGCCTCGGCCTCCCAAAGTGCTGGGATTACAGGCTTGAGCCACCGCGCCTCTTACAGTGATAGAGGGACAGTGCGATTATCTTCTCAGATGTTTACATTCAAAAGGGACAAATCTCAGAAATTTCAAACATACTTCTAGCTTGTAAGCCTGGCTAGAGGCTTACATAGCATCTAATGAGGTTTATATGCATATCAAAAGTTTAGAAAAGGATTCAGAAGCATTTTCTTATGGAAATGCTGTCAGAAAAAGAAGAGGGAAGACGAACCCTAAGACTTAAAATTAGTAAGAGGCAGAACTGCCATTAGAACCCAAGGAATTAGAGCCTCAAGTCTGTGTACATAATCTCCATCCTGTAAATTTTTCTTACAATCGTAGGAAATAATCATGTATATGGTTTGTGGAAGCCTTTTTCTATTTGGTTTGGAAGGTGATTTGGGGCTTTAGAGTCTACGTTCTCCTTATTAGAAGTAATGCATGACCATTATAGAGAGATTGGAAAAGACAGAAGTATATAAAAGGAAATGAAAGTTACCAGTATTCACTGCTGAATATTTAAACAATTAGCTGCATGTGGTGGTGCATACCAGTAGTCCCAGCTACTTGGGAGGCTGAAGTGGGAGGATTGGTTGAGCTTAGGAGTTTGAAGTTGGCGGTGAGCTGTAACCATGGCACTGCACTACAGCCTGGATGACAATGAGACTTCGTTCCTTAAAATAACCCATAATCTCAGGATTTAGAGATAAACACTGCTAACGTTTTTAATGCATTCATGCATTGGTGGCATGCCACACATGGTATTTCTCTAATTTTTCTCATAGAAATTCCCAAACATAGACGTAGAGAAAATAGTGTAATGAAATAGTGTAGAGGGTCGTTACACTATTTTCTTTATGTTTATGTTTGTCTCTAACTCTTGTAAACATTTGCCTGTCTTATTGCATCTATTACTCTTCTCCCACATATGTTTTTCGTGGGAAGAGGAAGAATCTGACAAAAATCAAAACCAAATCCTAGCAGACAGTCAGTAGAAATTAAAAGTAGTTAACATAAAATAATTGTGAATGAAGAGCAAAGGAAAGCAAGTTACCAGAGTTTTTTTTCTTGGCAACTAGGAAGAAGGTAGTTATGTGAGAAATCAAAGGGAGAGGGAAACACTGAGATTTGAAAAGGAATAGTTATGAATGTGGCTTCTTTATTTGGAATTTTTTACTTAGGGTCTTTTAGATCTGATCTGTTTCTCCCTTAGGCTGCATCTTATGTTGTTGCAGGCACTATGTCCCATTCTTTACAATGTGCTTAGTATCCAGCACAAGACTGACAAGGAGGGGTTCAGTGCTTGTGGTTTGTGGAACTGCCCAGTATCCTGAAACAGAAACCTGCAGCTCAGTTAGATTGTATTCAGAATTCCCGAAGTAGATTTAGGAAAAAATAAAAGGAAATAATGTCAATATTAGTGATCCTTTATCTTGCTTTTGGTGGGATGCATTTGCATATTCTTCTAGTTTTTTTTCACAGTAATCAAAAGTTGATGTGTGGTTATTGTCCAAAGCAAATTTTTGTAGAAACCTTCCATCCAGCTGGGCGTGGTGGCTCACATCTGTAATCCCAGCACTTTGGGAGGCCGGGGGGGTGGGGCGCGGATCACGAGGTCAAGAGATCGAGACCATCCTGGCCTACACGGTGAAACCCCATCTCTACTAAAAATACAAAAAAATTAGCCAGGTGTGGTGGCACACACCTGTGGTCCCAGCTATTCGGGAGGCTGAGGCGGAGGTTGCAGTGAGCCGAGATTGCGCCACTGCACTCCAGCCTGGTGACAGAGGAAGACCCCGTCTCAAAAAAAAAAAAAAAAAAAAGAAACCTTTCATCCGTAAATTGTGTCCTGTGTTTATAATATGAGGTTAACATTTGATAACTTTTTATAGGGTGGTCATGAATCAGTCAGAATTTCCAGTGCTTTACGTGTATTCATTTATACCTCATATCAGCCCTATTATAGTCTCCACTTAACAAATGAAGAAAAAAGGGACAGAATAAATGGAAGCACTAGTATTTTAATCTAGGCAGCTTTATACTACCTCTGTAATCTTGGCTACTACACACTACTTTTATTAGTCTGCAAGGCAAGAACCCATTGTAAGTCTTACTAGAGCAGAGAATATTTAAGCTATGGATGAAGACTATCACCTAGGAGTGAAAAGAGTAGCAGGTTATGACAGAAGGGACAGCAGATACAAAGAATTAGAGGCTTTGTGTAGGAGTACAAGGAATCCATTATGACTGGACATGTAGAGTGGAAAGTGGATTTGAAGAGAGAAACACCATCTGGAAGATTCCTGTTTGTGTGACTTGTTAAAGCATTTGAACCTTCTCTTAAGGGCATTGGATAGACATGCAGGTGAAAATAATCAAATTTCCATCTTAGGAGATATACTTAACCTCTCTCTGGCTCTGGATCCCAAACAGTAAACTAGAGGACATTACATTATTTGTCTTAAAAAAGTTGTGAAAACGAGCTGGGCACGGTGGCTCACGCCTGTAATCCTAGCTCTTTGGGAGGTGAGGAAGAGTGGTTCACCTGAGATCAGGAATTCAAGACTAGGCTGGCCAACATGGTGAAACCCTGTCTCTACTAAAAATACAGAAAACTAGCTGGGTGTGGTGGGGGGGTGCTTATAATCCCAACTACTCAGGAGGCTGAGGCAGGAGAATCACTTGAACCCAGGGCAGGGGACAAAGGTTGCAGTGAGCCGAGATGGCGGTACTTCACTCCAGCCTGGGCAGAAGAGCCAAACTCCATCTTACAACTCTTAACAAAAGTTGTGAAAATGTAGTGAGGGTCCCAGAGTCTGAAGAGTTGGGACTAGTTCCTGGCACATACTTGGTGCTTTGTATGTGGTAGTTGTATGTAACAGAATAAAGAATACATATTTAGTAACTGAGAACTGCAAACATGTACTGTCGTGGATATGTGGACATTTTTAGGTATTGCTGTCTTCTTTCAACCCTCAGTTCTCTGAAACATCAATTCCATCATCATACATTTAAGCAAATAAAAATCATGGTTTAAACACAAGTAGTAAACTTGTTCATCTTTCAAATTCAGAAACTCCTTGAGGAATGATTACAGTGGCCCTAGTTACTTTGAGGAGTTGATCATACAATATGCTTCAAAGCTTGAGTTTTCTATGTCTAGCTATCCTCAGCAAGCAAGTTGTTCTGAATTACATAACTGTGCTATTAACAAAAGTGGAAGTCCACAATATATTCTGCCTTCATTGCATTTTTTGGTTGGTCTTTCGTTCTTTTTGTATCTAAAGGGTATTTTTCCTATTGATCTTGTTAAATGTAAAAGGCTTTCCCCTGCCTTTTTTTTTTTTTTGGAAGTGGTAGATGTTTCTGATAATCTTTTTTTCCTTTAGGGCTCCAATTCTTCACAAATTTGCTGGTTTGTTGTTGTTGTTGTTGTTAATGAGAAAAACCTAAATTCCACTGACATCAGAGAACTGCTTCAGCCAGGCAAAACGGCAAGAAGCCATGAAGGGGATTCTGGATGTTGTAGTCCGGGAGCTCCAAGAATTTGGAGATTCTTTTGTTATACTCTCGGTAACCCTTGCTCGCTCGCTCGCTCGCTCTCTTTTTTTTATTTATTTTTATTTTTTAGCGCGAAGAGGGCGCCACCTGGAAGTTCTTCCTCCTGGGAGTTCTGGGAAACGTATTCCAGAACTCTGTCCGGAAACAGTTGGGCCGCAGGCGCGCGAGGCTTCTGGGAAGGGTAGTTAAGTAGCTCCGGACAGGCAGAGCCACTTCCGCCCCGGAAAGCGAGGCCGCCACCATCTTTTGGGTCCGGGAGGTGAGTTAACGTTACACCCCCAGGGCCCTTCTGAAGCTTTCCAGCCTGCGCGTGGCGCTCCCCAGCCGTCAGTCAGGATGGAGAGGTTGCGGCCGCGGGCGGAGGCCGAGAGGCCAAGGGCGGAAGTTTGCTCTCATCCCGCACTTGGCGAGCTGCGCCGCTACTTCTGTAGGTATAATAAACAGCGGGTTACCTATTATCCGGTCTTGTGTTTCATCATCTGTAAAATAACAATAAAGGTAGTTACTGGGTAAACCCTACTGTTACTGGGTAGGGTTGTAATTAGACTTAAAGGAGATAATACGGGTCAAACCTTAGAACGGTAGTGGCACCTGATACCTGGTTGACTTCTGCTGTTGATAATCAACTGATTCCCTAACAAGCACCCTTTTTACTGGAAGCTCCAGTGAAGAGACAGGAAAGGTCAGGGCTTTATGCCATGGCCCTTCTTTCTCATCCTTCAGGAGACCGAGGTCTTCCGGAACTTTTACCGATTTTTTTTTACGAAGGATTGAGTCATCAGGCTCCAGTGCATGGGAATGTTTACTGTGTCGTTTATAAGGGATAGAGACTCCATCGTGCTAACTCACGGCATCCTTTTTTTTTTTTTTCACCGCCTCCGAATTCGCAAAGAGGAGGAGGGAGGGACTTCGTTCCTTCTTCCAGCATAGCCCAGGTACCTGCTCTTGAACACACTTTGTTGTTCCATTGTCTGTCCTTTGAACTAATCAAGTTTACTTCACTCAGTAAGTTACTACTGAAAAATGATAAAATATTTGTTGAATAAATGTGAAAGTGGGTAGGAAAGATACTTGGAAATGAGTATTATAAATAACATCTTACCACTTTGATTTTAAGGCATTTATCTGTGGACCATAGATATTGATGAAGTAGGTCATGTTATTATGAGTAAATTAAGCAGAGCTTATTTTATGAAATACTTTCCCAAAGTTATTCAGCTGATTGTAAGAAGTGGGTTGGGATTGAACCTAAGCAGTTCTTTTCAGAGTGTGTGATCTTTTTTGTTGGTTTGTTTTGTTTGTTTTTGTTTAGTTCTGTTGTTTTCTGTTCTTTGTTCAAAGTCTGTGATCTTAATCTCAATGATATAGTTACCTTCAGTTATCTTAAATAGTAATCCATTTAGCTACAGGTGAGTCATTGGAAATCAGCCTTGGGAATGTAGGTGTGGATTTTATTGTGGAAGATCTCAAAAACTGCAGTGATGAATTTTGAATTTTTTAGAAAAATCCTACAACATCTCAATTTCATTCCATGTCAAAATATGTCATATTCTGGTTATAGAAGTAATGAATGCTTATTATAGAGGCGCACTATCCAAACCAGTAGCTGTAAGCCACGTGTGCCCTAGGAGCACTTGAAATGTGGTTAGTCTAAATTAAGATATGCTATAAGTGTTAAATACACCCTGAGTTTCAAAGACTTTGTACAAAAAATGTAAGATGGCTCGATAATTTTTTGCATTGTATGTCAAAATGTTAATATTTTGGATACACCGGCTTAAATTGTTAAAATTAATTTCACGGCCAGGCGCGGTGGCTCAAGCCTGTAATCCCAGCACTTTGGGAGGCCGAGGCGGGTGGATCACGAGGTCAAGAGATCGAGACCATCCTGGTCAACATGGTGAAACCCCGTCTCTACTAAAAATACAAAAAAAAATTAGCTGGGCACGGTGGTGCGTGCCTGTAATCCCAGCTACTCAGGAGGCTGAGGCAGGAGAATTGCCTGAACCCAGGAGGCGGAGGTTGCGGTGAGCCGAGATCGCGCCATTGCACTCCAGCCTGGGTAACAAGAGTGAAACTCCGTGTCGGAAAAAAAAAAAAAAAAAATTAATTTCACTTATTTTTGGTTTTTCCCTTTTTTATATGGCACTGGAAAATTTAAAATTACATATGTTGGACAGTGATGTTCAGATAAAAAAGAAAAAAATTACATATAATAAAAGTGCTAACACTTTAATGTGTTTCTCTTTAGTATTTGCTATGGATGTTTCTCAAAATAGGCTTGGTATTCTGTGTAGTTTTTTTCTTAATATATTATGAAAAATTTCAAGTATGTTCAACTATCAAAAGGGTGGTGCGGTGAATCCCATGTAACCAACACTTAGATTCAACATTTGCTCCAGATGATCTCTTCCTCCCACCCCTACCTTTTTAAAAAATTTTATTATTATTATTACTATTTGAGACAGAGTCTAGCTCTGTTGCCCAGGCTGGAGTGCAGTGGTGTGATCTTGGCTCACTGCAACCTCCACCTCCTGGGTTCAAGCAATTCTCCTCTCTCAGCCTCCGGAGTAGCTGGGATTACAGGCATGCACCACCATGCTCAGCTAATTTTTTGTATTTTGGTAGAGATGGGGTTTCACCATGTTGGCCAGGCAGGTCTCGAATTCCTGACCTTGTGATCTGCCCACCTTGGCCTCCCAAAGTGCTTGGATTACAGGCGTGAGCCACTTTGCATGGCCTTTTGTTTTTTAAACTAGAGTGTCTTTAAAGCAGGGGTCTCCAACCCCTGGGCAGCAGATATGGTACGAATCTGTGGCCCTTTAGTAACCTGGCAGCACAGAAGGAGGTGATTGGAGTGGTACCGCCTGAGCTCTCCTCCTGTCAGATCAGCAAGGGCATTAGATTCTCATAGGAGGGACTGCACATGCAAGGGATCTAGGTTGTGTGCTCCTTATGAAAATGTAACTAATGGCTTGTAATCTGAGGTGGAACTGTTTCATTCCCAAACCATCTCCCTTGCCCCGATCCATGGAAAAATTGTCTTCCATGAAACTGGTTGTTGGTGCCAAAAAGGCTGCTGACTGTTGTCTTAAAGCATATACCAGACATCAGGTCAGTTTTTAAAAATATTCTACCATGACCTCTGAAACTGAAGCTTTATTTTGCCATTTGCTCAGTACAGTATATCTTTTTTTGTTTCTTTTCTTTCAAACCTTTTTGTCATTATGTTTTCGTAGTGTCTTTTAGAATACACACACACACACACCCACAAACATACATACATACATACATTTTTAGTGCAGTCTGGGATAATTTGCTTGTTCTATCTGTGTGTATATTTTGCTCTCCTTTCTTGTTTTTAAGTTTTGTTCAGTTTATTTCCTTTTATTTGTGCTCAACTGATCTGGAGTTTATATGGTTTTGTGTATTTTTTATTACTATAAGTTCTGAGGTACATGTGCAGATCATGCAGGACTGTTACATAGGTATTCACATGCCATGGTGGTTTGCTGCCTCCATCCCCCCATTACCTACATTAGGTATTTCTCCTGTTATCACTCTCCAATACCCCTACTCCTGCTATCCCTCCCCTAGTGCCCCCCGCCAACAAGCCCCAGTATGTGATGTTCCCCTCCCTGTGTCCATGTTTTCTCATTGTACAACACCCACTTATGAGTGAGAACTGAGGTGTTTGATTTTCTATTCTTGTGTCAGTTTGCTGAGAATGATGGTTTCCAGATGGATCCATGTTCTTGTAAAGGACATAAACTTACCCTTTTTTATGGCTGCATAGTATTCCATGCTGTATATTTGCCATATTTTCGTTATCCAGTCTGTCATTGATGGGCATTTGGATTGGTTCCAAGTCTTTGCTATTATATACAGTGCTGCAGTGAACATACGTGTGCATGTGTCTTTATAATAGAATGATTTATAATCCTTTGGGTATATACCATTTGACCTAGTAATGGGATTGCTGGGTCAAATGGTATTTCTATTTCTACATCCTTGAGGAATTGCCATACTGTCTTCTACAATGGTTGAACTAATTTACACTCCCACTAACAGTGTAAAAACATTCCTATTTCTTCACATCCTCTCCAGCATCTGTTGTCTCCAGATTTTTTTAATGATTGCCATTCTAGCTGGCATGATGTGGTATCTCATGTGGTTTTAATTTGCATTTCTCTAATGAACAGTGATGATGAGCATTTTTTCATGTTTGTTGGCTGCATGAATGTCTTTTGAAAAGTGTCTGTTTATATCCTTTGCCCACTTTTTGATGGAGTTGTTTTTTTCTTGTAAATTTAAGTTATTAGTAGATTCTGGATATTAGCCCTTTGTTAGATGGGTAGCTTGCAAAAAAATTTTCTCATTTTTTAAACTTTACAAAATATCCCTTGGCAAGTACTAAATCTAATCAGCATGTGTTCTTATTCTGAAGAATAATGAGACTAAAAAAGATTTAAAAGAAGATGGGGCCAAGTGTAATAGCTCACACCTGTAATCCCAGCACTTTGGGAGGCTGAGACGGGTGGATCACCTGAGGTCAAGACTTTGAGACCAGACTGGCCAGAATGGTGAAACCCTGTATCTACTAAAAATACAAAAATTAGCTGGGCATGGCCACGCACAGCTGTAATCCGGTAGTCTGGACTACTCGGGAGGCTGAGGCAGGAGAATCGCTTGAATGTGGGAGGTGGAGGTTGCATTGAGCTAGATTGCACCATTGCACTCCAGCCTAGTCGACAGGAATGAAACTCTCTCAAAAAAGAAAAAAAGAACTATCTTTTTTTTTTTTTTTTTTTTTTTAATGTAGACTAGGTTGTTATAGGTCTGCTTTTTATTATAACCACCCTCAAAATTTGTCATTATAGTTCTTTGGCTTTTCTTAAAGATTATTATCTTACCAATATAGTTACAAATGTTTTCTTACCATTGCTTCTGTCAGTCCATCTTTTAGGGTTCACATGATTATAAATCTTCTTCATTTTCATTCAGCTAAAATACTGTTTCTTTCTCATGTAAATCATTTAGTTGAACATACACTTCATGGTTGACAGTTTCTTTATTTTGGAGGTAATAGTCATTTGTTTTAAATTTTCATTCTGTTACTCTATTTCTCTCAATATAATTGTTATTTCTTTTAGGTCAAATATGTTTTCTTTCTAGGAGCTTTAAGGTTGTTGTTGTTTTGAGTTTTTTATGTTTGCTTAGTCTTTTGCATTCCTGAGTTTCACTGTGATTTATTTTGGAATACGTTTATTTATACTGTTAAGAATTTCTCTATGTGAACTTGTATCTTTTATTAATTGTGTGAAATTCTCAGCAATTGTATCTTGAAATTAAGACCTCTCAGTCATTCCCTCCATCCTGCATTCTCTTCTCACATTCCTGTTAGACAAATATAGAAGCCTCTCAATTATCTTTCATGTTTCTTGATTTTTCATTTGTGTCTTTATCTTTCTTCTTGCCATATGTTTTTCTTTATCTTTGTGCACATAAAAGGGCTAAAATGATTCTTTCTAGGCTTTATGAAGTAAATTGACCTGAAATGATATGTTTTAGAAACCTGATACCATTGTCAGTAAAATATTACTAGCTAGGCAACAAATTACTAAGAAGAAACTTTAAGACAGAATTTGGCTTTTCAGAAATTAAAGGTTACTTTCATAGGAGAGCAGTATTTGCAAGGGAAGTGTACGATGCAAAATATCATCTGCCTTTTTTTTTTTTTTTTTTTTTTTTTGGAAACAGTCACTCTGTTGTCCACGTTGGAGTGTATTGGCACAATCTCGGTTCACTGCAACCCCCACCTCCCCAGGTTCATGCAGTTCTCATGCCTCAGCCTCCCAAGTAGCTGGATTACAGACACGCAACACCACGACTGGCTAATTTTTATTATTTTTAGTAAAGATGAGGTTTTGTCGTGTTGGCCAGGCTGGTCTCAAACTTCTGACCTCATGTGATCTGCCCTCCTTGGCCTCCCAAACTGCTGGGATTACAAGTCTGAGCCGCTGTGCCCGGCCTCTTATGCTTTTTAGTAACTATAAGAGAAAGGGACTCCTGGTTCTTAGAACTCTCCATCTACTTATTTAATCCTTGGAAAAACCCTATGAGGGAGGTACAATTTATGATTCTTACCATGTCCTCATTTTACACATGACAAGTGAGGCATAGAGAGGGTTTTTAGTACCCCCAAGGTTACACAGATGGTAAATATCGTTTCTAGGAATTAAACCCAGATATTTGACTTTAGAGGCCTCATCTGTTATTACACTGCCTCTTGTTTCTTATCATCTCTGCCATCAGAAATTCTTGTAGCAGGGATGCTGCATTTGTGCAAATTGTTCACTGCCCAATGGCACTGAGTTGTCAGGCTTTTTAGAAGCTAGAATACAGTCCATGTTCTGCTTACCAAGCTTGTATGGCTATACCTGTCTGAATGTAGGGCTATTTCTGTCTATTTCTGTAATTTCCTCATACGTCCACGTGGGCTAACAGCAGGCTTGTGTCTCATGGCTTCTTTGGTCTTCCCCAGTTATGCTATCTCAGGACTATGACATTCCCCAGAAGGAGCAGGAGGAAATGACCAAGTTTCAGGTAAGTAAAGTATTCCTTACTGTCTTTTAAGATGTGATTTATTTCTCGCAGATTAGAGATTTATTTTTTCTCTTCCTTGGAAAGGTTAGTGAAAAACAGATCTTCAGAGCATGCTGTATGCTGAGATGTGTGTGTTTTGTTTGTTTTAGTTTATCACCTTTAGTATTTTACAAAACAGTCTTTGAAAAAAATAAGAGAAGCTTTAATAAAAAATAATCTATGCTACTTTCCTGCTCATAAACTAGCTTTTTTCACTTTCCCATACTCTTTTTCATATCCATTTTGCAGTACTTAAGTAGATGAAATTTTCAGTTGTGCATTTTCCACTTAATTGCATCACCTGCATTGTAAGTGATTACATCATATGCCATTGAATTGCAGTGCCCTTAAAAAACAACAAAAAGTATTCATTATTCAGCCTTTCAGAAATTTTAAGAATTTTACTACTTTAAATGCAGTGACTTTTTTCCTACATATAAAAACAATTTCTTTAAAAGCAATTTTGAAGGAATTCAATATTATTTGTCCCAAAAGTTTTAGGAGCTCTGCATTGAAGAGGTTCATGTCTCAGTTTCATGTTGGTTCCCTCAGATGTTTTGTAAACAGAGCATCTAAAGAATGACATGGTGTAATATTATTAGATGTTTTCACAGAAGAAGAGCTATATATTTTTTCTGTTTATGTTTTTATCACTCATCTATTTTATTTCTTGGATGAATTTATTTCATCAAAGTAACATGTACATAGTTTAAGGTCTAGTAGTACTTAGATGTCTTGTCAGCCCTTTCCATCTGTCATTGCAATTTTTCAGATGTGAGGATGGAGATGATTTGTCTGTATTTTAAATATGAGGAAACAGGTTATGGGAATAACTGCCCCAAATTTCCCAGGTAGCTGATTCATTGGACACTGAAGCTTCCAACCATTAGGAATATCTGACATTCTGTATTCATGTAAAGGTAGACAGAACAAAAGAGTTTTCCATTCAGAGACATGAGCGCATATCATACAAGTACCTGCTGTTACTTTTTTTTTTTTTTTTTGAGACAGAGTTTCATTCTTATCTCCCAGGCCAGAGCCAGAGGGCAATGGCACAATCTCAGCTTACTGCAACCTCTGCCTCCCAGGTTCAAGCGATTGTCCTGCCTCAGCTTCTCGAGTAGCTGTGATTACAGGCATGCACCACCATGCCTGGCTAATTTTGTATTTTTGTTAGAGATGGGGTTCCACCACGTTGGCCAGGCTGGTCTTGAACTCCTGACCTCAGGTGATTCACCCACCTCAGCCTCTCAAAGTGCTGGGATTACAGGCGTGAGCCACTGCACCTGGCCCTGATGTTACCTTTTGGAGGATAGACCTCAACAATGCCTCTCATTCAGTTTCCATCTCAGTGCCTATCTCTTCTCTAGTTTTGTCTCTTAGTCATTCCATGAAGGTAGATGCTCAAGCACAGTTTTTATATAAGTGTTTTAAATTTCTCTACAGCAAAAGCTATCAGGCATGATGGTAAAAGACAGTAGCAAACTGGTGGGATATACTTAAACATTAGGTAAAGGTCTAATAGGTTAAATTCCTGTTAAGATTAGTAATATAGAGAAAATCCCAACTGGAATATGAGCAAAAGAAATGAATAGCAGTGTCATTAAGAGAAGAAACAAATTTATGAAAAGAATGATCTTCACTAATAATTTTAATGTGTGAAAATGTTAATAAAAGAGCTTTCTATTTATGTATTTGGTTTTACTTATGTTGTCAATGACTTTTTTAGAAAAAGGAACTGAGTCCTGTTTAGCCAGGGTCTAGAGGTTCAGGGATGCTTGTACTGTTGCATAAAAAGTGAACTGGGAAAACCTTTGGAGAGAAAAATCTGCAATTACACTTTCAAATTTTTTTTTTTTTTCTTTTGAGATGGTGTCTCACTCTGTTGCCCAGGCTGTAGTGCGATGGCACGATCTCAGCTCACTGCAACCGCCACTTCCTGGGTTCAAGCGATTCTCCTGCCTCAGCCTCCCGAGTAGCTGGGATTATAGGTGCCCATCACTGCACCTAGCTAATTTTTGTATTTTTAGTAGAGACGGGGTTTCGCCATGTTGGCCAGGCTGGTTTTGAACTCCTGACCTTAGGTGATCTGCCTGCCTTGGCCTCCCAAAGTGCTGGGATTACAGGCATGAGCCACTGCGCCCGGCTCAAAAATTTTAAAAGTAAATATTCTGTGACTTTGCAGTTGCTGCTTCTTGGCCATGATCTCTGTAAAAGAATCTTTGCAGTGTTGGTTATAAGTAAAAATCTGTAATTAATTGTACATTATTTGGATTGGTTAAAGATAAATCATCAGTTCCAAGGAATACTATCGTAGGTAATCACAAAATGGGATGAAACAGGTCACAAAGGTATTAGTTTTTCCCATTTATTGAGCACATATGGTGTGCCACGCATTTGAGTGCTTTACATATCTTCACTCATCTAATCCTTTCAAACACTTTATGATTTATTTATTTTAATTTTAAAAATTTATTTAAAACAGTGTCTCACCCTGTCTGGAGTGTGGTGGTGCCATCTCGGCTCACTGCAACCTCCACTTCCCGGGTTTAAGTGATTCTCCTGCCTCAGCCTCCTGAGTAGCAGGGATTACAGACACACATCACCATGCCTGGCTAATTTTTTTGTATTTTTAGTGGAGATGGGGTTTCAGCATGTTGGCCAGGTTGGTCTCAAACTCCTAGCCTCAAGTGAGGCCTCCAAAAGTCCTGGCATTACAGGTGTGAGCCACTGTACCTAGCCTGAAAATTTATTTATTTTTAAAAATTGAGACAGGGTCTCACTCTGTTGCCCAGGCTGAAATGCAGTGGCACAATCATGGCTCACTGTAGCCTCAAACTCCTGGGCTGAAGCAGTTCTTCTGTGTCAGGCTCATACAACTTATGATTTAGATACCATGATAAAGAAGAAATTGAGATAGTGAGAGATTAAGGAATTTGCCCAAGGTCCTATAATTAGTAAAAGGCAAAACGTTGAAATTTGAACCTGGCCAGACTCCAGAGCCAGTGCTCTTTAAGCAGCTGTGCATCCTGTAGTAGGTGGATAAAAGGACATGTGCCTTGAAAGCACAGGAAGAGCTACATACCTATCTTTGAGGGTTGCTGAAGGCCTGTGACCTTTGCAAACATTAAAAACGTTGATAGGGCCAGGTGTGGTGGCTCAGGCTTGTTCCCAGCACTTTGGGACTCCGTGGCCAGTGGATCACCGGAGGTCAGGTGTTTGAGACCAGCCTGGCCAACATGGTAAAATCCCGTCTCTACTAAAAAAATACAAAAGTTACCTGGGTTTAGTCATGGGCACCTGTAATCCTAGCTACTTGGGAGGCTAATGCAGGAGAATCTCTGAACCCAGGAGATGGAGGCTGCAGTCAGCAGACATTGTGCCACTGCACTCCAGCATGGGTGACAGAGTAAGACTCCATCTCAAAAAAGAAAAAAACAAAAAAACAGTGATAAAGTCCAGGCTTTGTAGGGGGAGGGGTAGGAGATAGTGAGAGAAACTGTCAGAACTGAAAATTGACTGGGATCTCTTGGAATCTCTAACAATTTTTTTGTGGTGCTCTTTTTCCTTCTTGATGCCACCCTTCTTCCAGTGGAGGTTGGTTATAAGATTGAGGTTACCTGTGTTTGATGTTGTAGAAGGCTGTGACATTCAAGGATGTGGCTGTGGTCTTCTCCAGTGAGGAACTACGACTGTTGGATCTTACACAGAGGACGTTGTACCGAGATGTCATGGTGGAGAACTTCAAGAACTTGGTTGCCGTGGGTGAGGACAGGCGCTCTCTGACCCTGAACCTGAGCTCCCTTTGAGAATCTTTGTGCTTGAAGAGGTGTTCAAGGGTTTGGACCTTTTAAAAATGGTTCCTTGTTCTTGAAGACAAAAGGTTTTCTAATCCCTGGGACAATAGCATAGGTTTTTCTAGTCTTTCTGCTCAGGCAAAATTCTGTCCTTTTAAATTGCTGGTGGTTTTGCCCCTAGAAGATATTTGGCATTGTCTGGAAATGGTTGTCACACCTGATGGGGGGGTGCTGTTGGCATCTTGTGGGTAGTAGCCAGGAATTCTGCTAAATCTCCTATATATATATGAACTAGGTCACAACCTAAATTTCTTATTATAGTTCATGATCTAAAAACATCTTAAAATAAATCACTCTAGAGGCCAGACGTGGTGGCTTATGCTTGTAATCGCAGCACTTTGGGAGGCCAGGGTGGGTGGATCACTTGAGGTCAGGAGTTCGAGACCAGCCTGGCCAACACGGTGAAATCCCATCTCTACTAAAAATGCAGAAATTAGCCGGGTATGGTGGCAGGTACCTGTAATCCCAATTACTAGGGAGGGAGGAGGATCACTTGAACCCCGGAGGTGAGGCAGAGGTTGCAGTGAGCCGAGATTGTGCTATTGCACTTTAGCCTGGGCAACAGAGTGAAACTCTGTCTCAAAAACTAAATAAATAAATAAAATAAGTAATAACATATCACTCTAGAGGTTGTGAGGCTTATAGGTTCTGACAAAAATGTATTTTAGTTGTGTGTTCATCTTAAATACATATAAATCTGCATTTTCATAGGGCATCTTCCCTTCCAACCAGATATGGTATCCCAACTGGAAGCAGAAGAAAAGCTTTGGATGATGGAAGCAGAAACCCAAAGAAGTAGGTATTCTGGCGAGAACCCTGCGGCTATTCTTTCAGGTACTGATTAGTCTGCGTCTTACCATGTCCATGACCTCCCTGGTCCGAATGCTGTCATCTTTCACCTGGATTATAACAGCAGCTTCCATGCTGGTCTCCCTACCTCCTCCCTTGTGCTCCTATAGTTTACTTTCTAAATGGTAGCCAGAGTGGTTCTTTTTAAAATATCTTTTTATTTTTTGAGATAGGGTCTCACCTTTTCTCCAAGCTAGAGTGCAGCAGTGTGATTGTAGCTTACTGCAGCCTCATCCTCCTGATTTCAAGTGATCCTCCTGCCTCAGCCTTCCAAGTAGCTAGGACTACAGGTGTATATCACAACAACTGGCTAATTTTTTATTTTTTGAAGAGATGAGGTCTTGCTATGTTGCCCAGGCTGGTCTGAAACTCCTAGGCTCAAGCAGTCTTCCCACCTAAGTCTCCCAAAGCCCTGGGACTACAGATGTGAGCTGCTGTACCCAGCCCAGACTGGTTCTTTAAGGAACACATTAGATTATGTCATTCCTCTACTCAGAAGCCTTCACAACCTTCCCATTTCACTCAGAGGCCTTGTACTGAACTGTAAGACCCTAACTGGTCTGATCTCACCAAGTTTCTCTTTGATCTCCCATTCCTTTCCCTTTGCTTAGATCATCCCAGCCATGTTGGCAGCCCTTGGAGTATTTGTTAAACATACTGAGTTCCCTTCTGTTCCATGGCCTCTGACTAGCTCTCCTCCTTGCTTTGGTGGAGAGTCCCCAGCACCTTACTTACTGCACTCAAGTCATTGTTTAAATGTTATATCATTAGAGAGGCCTCCTGTGTTTAAATACCATTTTAATTTGAAATACCATCTTCCTTCCATTTTCCATCCCCTTATCCTTCCTTTCTCTCCTTCTCTGCTTTCTCTTTAATTTGCATATTTTTCAGGTCTACTGACTTAAAAATTAAAAGTAAGCTGGGCATAATGGTGCACACCTGTAATCCTGGCTACATGGGAGACTGAAGTGGGAGGATCACTTGAGCTGAAGAGTTCCAGACCAACCTGGACAACATAGTGAGACTCCATCTCTATTAAAAAATTTTTAAAAATTAGCTAGGTATATTAGCATGTACTTGTAGTTCCAGCTACTTGGGAGGCTGAGGCAGGAGGATCAAGTGAGCCCAGGAATTTGAGACCAACCTGAACAACAGTGAGACCTTGTCTCTCACACACACAAAATTAAAAATCAGGTATTCCGAGATGATGTAAATTTATATGCTCTCCCTACCCCAAAAACAAAACAGGAAAGCTTATCTATTAACATGATAGACAACGCCCTGAATTCTGTGAGTAGTTGATGGATATAATTCATCTTTTTTGGTTCATCTCTCTTTTTAGGTCTACATTTAATCATATCCGTAAATTCCTTTGATGTGTTCAGAAATGTTAGATACTTGCTTTACTTTACCTCGGGAATTATCCTAAGTATTGTCACTTTTCATTTTTGCATAATAGACAAAGTCCTTTTAGCAAATCTTGTAGCATTTTCTGCCACCCTATCTCAAAGGTTTTTCTTTAATGCCTTCAACATGTTTCAGGATTTTGCAACCATGCTTCATGTATAAGTAATATTCTAAAATTTTCTTCATAAATCAGAGGAACACATATTAAAGAGCTCCTCCCCGAGATAGAGTCTCACTGTGTTGCCCAGGCTGGAAGTCTCACTGTGTCGCCAAGGCTGGAGTGCATGATTTTGGTTCACTGCAACCTTTGCCTCCTGGGTTCAAGCAATTTTCCTGCTTCAGCCTCCTGGGTAGCTGGGTTTACAGGCACCTGCCACCATGCCTGGCTAATTTTTGTATTTTTAGTAGAGATGGGGTTTCACCATGTTGGCCAGGCTGGTCTCAAACTCCTGACCTTGTGATTCACCCGTCTTGGTCTCCCAAAGTGCTGGGATTACTGGCATGAGCCACTGTGCCACGCCAAACTGTTTGTTTTTCTAAGAGTTCTTAACAAAAAGCTTACAGAGAATGGAGACAAGTAGACCTTATATTCCTTTTACTTGGAGTTAGCTCATTGGTTGAGAGCACACTAGTGTGATTAATTAATTACTTGGGAATTGTCTTCCAGTGAATCTTTAAAATAACTCTTAATTTCTAAGACATTTTTGGATATGTAAAGATTCAAACCTAATCATAGAAAACAAAAGCTATTCACAGTTGTTGGAATATATAACTATCAAAAATTATCAATGCCTATATGGCAGGTAGTACAGTTCATCATTTTCCTTGTATCAGTTTCAAGTTGGCTATACTCATTGGTGAAAACTGCCTCATCCATACAGGTGACTTCCCACTTTCTCATGTTCCCTTCCCTCCAATACCGAAACAGTTATATAGCCTTCATAGAGTAGTTCTTTAGAGTTTTGAATTGGACATTTCCAGAAGTCCAAAGGCACTGACATACCTGTGGAGTTGAAGTGAGTCCTATTAGGAAAAGAAAATCCCAGCATTTTGAATTCAGTTTTCCAGTGTAATTTGCATCCACATGTATTAATCTTAGCTGCTAGCACAGGCAATGTGAGAAGCACTTTTTGGTTGCAGTGACTTACGACAGCAAACACCTGAAGTTAGGCCAGACTTTCAGATTAAGGGCATAGTCTTCCACAAGACTACTGTCTATATCAGCTCTAAGTTTAGGGTTTCCCAGATAATTTTGGTCACTTCTGACCAAGTAGCTACAAAATTTGGGGGTTCCCATGATAATTTGTTAGAATGAACGTCAGAACTCAGGAAGGTACTAGACTTAGAGTTTTATTAGAGCAAAAAAGATACACATTGGAATGAGCAAAAGGAAGAGATACGTGGGGCAAAATCTGGGAGAGTTCCTTCTTGCTTCCCTTTTTAAAAGGACTTGTGATTACTTTGGGCTCACTGGTTAATCCAGGATAATCTTTTTATCTTGAGAGCTTTCATTTAATCATATCTGTAAATTCCTTTTTTTTTAGACAGTGTCTTCCTCTGTCATCTAGGCTGAAGTGCAGTGGCGTGATCTTGGCTCATTGCAACTTCCACCTCCTGGGTTCAAATGATTCTCATGTCTCAGCTTCCCTAGTAGCTAGGATTACAGGTGCCCACCATCATGCCAGGCTAATTTTTAATATTTTTTGTTAGTGGAGACGGTTTCACCATGTTGGCCAGACTGGTCTCAAACTCCTGATGTCAAGTGATCCTCGGCCTCCCAAAGTGCTGGGATTATAGGCGTGAGCCACCGGGCCTGGCCTGTAAATTCCTTTTTGCCATATACGTTAACATACTCACAGGTTTGTGAGTTCAGGATGTAGACATCTCTTCAGGGTGGGGATTATTACTCAGCCTGCCATATCCAGAAATATGTAGATACCTATTGATGTATATTTTTTTCAGTTTGTATTATTAGAATGTAACATTGTATTTAAGCAAATTATTTGATTAAGGACTTGGTAAATCACCCCCTAAACATTTTAAGCCAAGGTCTTTCATACACTTCTAACCACCACCCTCAACTTAAGTATAATTTTACATCTTGACTGAGCATAAGTATGCTCATATTTATGTGTATGTTTACAAACTCAAACAAGTATTTCCTATAATGGTGCGCTTATTGCTTGTAATATTCTAAGCATGTTCTCTTATTCTGTTTTTTTTGTTGTTGTTGTTGTCACAAGTTACATACTGGGTTTCATGGTGCACTAATGCATCGAAACAATTTGAAAACCCTTGTTACAGTGGGGATAAAGCAATGAAGAAAACAAAGCGCATATTTTCTTCTTGACCATTACATTCTAGTGGGTCTAAGAGACAGAGAGAAAAAAAAGGAAAGTATATAGTAAATCAAATAATAAGTAATGTGGGGAAAAGTCAAGCAGAGTAAGGGAACTGGGAAGAGTCAAAGGTATATGGTGGGCTGGGTGTGGTGGCTCATGCCTGTAATCCCAGCACTTTGGGAGGCCGAGGTGGGTGGATCACTTGAGGTCAGGAGTTCAAGACCAGCCTGGCCAACATGATAAAACCCCATCTCTGCTAAAAATACAAAAATTAGCTGGGTGTAGTGGCATGAGCCAGTAATCCCCACTACTCGGGAAGCTAGGAGGAAAATCTCTTGAACCGGGGAGGTGGAGGTTGCAGTGAGCTGAGACTGCACCACTGCACTCCAGCCTGGGTGACAGAGCGAGACTCCATTTCAGAAAAAAAAAGGTATAGGGTGGTACCGTGGATTTACTTTTCCATCATATGTTATAGAAGGCATCACAGATAAAGTAACATTTAAGCAGAGACCTGAAGGGAGTAAGAGAACAAGCAAGGCTCCCTGCTTCCTGGGAGGAAGCTTTCCAAGCTGAACATACCTCTCCCTCTCTTAGTCTTCTGTGTTGACTTTGAGAGTTTGCACTATGCTCTACTTCTTTCCTCTCTGAACTTCTCTCCTAGTTATACAAGATTAGCTTTCCCTTTTCCACTTCTTGTCCAGAGACTTGGATTTCTACCAGGCTTTAGAGTAATCATTTTATTAGTTCAACTGCTTTCCCAAATTTCCTGTTGGAAAATAATTTCTATCAGGATCTAAAATACTATTTACCAGGCTTTAGAATAATCATTTTATTAGTTCAACTGCTTTCCCAAATTTCCTGTTGGAAAATAATTTCTATCAGGATCTAAAATACTATTTTATGCCCACAGTCTGAACTTTCCTAACATAACTAGTTATTAGAATCCCACTTGTCATAAGCCTACTGAGCAAGAGTTACGTAGGTTGTTAATTGATGTTATGTAGGTTAGAATGTGGATTGTCTTTTTGTTGCCGTGCAGCCACCTGATTTCAGCTTTTAGCTCTCATATTAAACTGTTAGACTTACTATTCTAAATGGATCATATTTATACTTAGTGAATCGGAACCTGTTGACCCCACTCTTTGCTTATACCTGTATGAAAAACATGACAGAATACATGATACTGTAAGGACAAGGTCACCTTTCCCCTGGTTTATTAAGGCTTTCTACTGTGGCCTATGTGTGAAATTCTATTTCTGAAGAAAGTGTTTACTTGCCTTCATATCTAAATATTACTTTTTTTTTTAAATAGGCAGCAAGCATCAAAATAAGATGGAGACTCTCCAAAAATTTGCATTAAAATACCTTTCAAATCAAGAACTGTCCTGCTGGCAAATCTGGAAACAGGTTGCAAATGAATTAACCAGGTGTCTACAGGGAAAGAGTTCCCAGTTAGTACAAGGTGACTCTATTCAGGTTTCTGAAAATGAGAACAATATAATGAACCCTAAAGGAGATAGCTCTATTTATATTGAAAATCAGGAGTTTCTATTTTGGAGAACCCAGCATTCTTGTAGGAATCCGTATCTGAGTGAGTCACAGATTCAGAGTAGAAGTAAACAAATTGATGTGAAAAATAACCTGCATATACATGAAGACTTAATGAAGAAATCATCATGTCATGAGCATATTAAAACTGACACAGAACCGAAACCCTGCAAAGGTAATGAATGTGGCAAAATCATTAGTGATGGCTCCAATCAGAAATTACCCTTAGGAGAGAAACCCCATCCATGTGGTGAGTGTGGAATGGGCTTCAGTTATAGCCCAGGGCTTCCCCTTCATCAGAATGTTCACACAGGAGAAAAATACCTCAGTCAAATCTCACATCTGCAAACTCATCAGAGAATTCACCCGGGAGAGAAACTCAATAGATATTATGGATCTGGTGATTGCTTCAGTAAGAGCTCTTTCCATTTTTATCAATCTAATCATACAGGAGAGAAGTCCTATAGATGCGACAGCTGTGGCAAAGGATTCAGTAGCAGCACGGGTCTTATCATTCATTACAGAACTCATACTGGAGAGAAACCCTATAAATGCGAGGAATGTGGTAAATGCTTTAGTCAAAGTTCAAATTTTCAGTGCCATCAGAGAGTCCATACTGAAGAAAAACCATACAAATGTGAAGAGTGTGGTAAGGGCTTCGGCTGGAGTGTTAATCTCCGTGTTCACCAGAGGGTCCACAGGGGTGAGAAACCCTATAAATGTGAGGAGTGTGGTAAGGGCTTCACTCAGGCTGCACATTTTCACATCCATCAGAGAGTCCACACTGGGGAGAAACCCTACAAATGTGATGTGTGTGGTAAGGGCTTCAGCCACAATTCACCATTAATATGCCATCGGAGAGTCCACACTGGAGAGAAGCCATACAAATGTGAGGCGTGTGGGAAAGGCTTTACACGTAATACAGATCTGCATATTCATTTCAGAGTTCACACGGGAGAGAAACCCTATAAATGTAAGGAGTGTGGTAAGGGCTTCAGTCAGGCTTCAAATCTTCAAGTCCATCAGAATGTCCACACTGGGGAAAAACGATTCAAATGTGAAACATGTGGGAAGGGCTTCAGTCAGTCCTCAAAGCTTCAAACCCATCAGAGAGTCCACACTGGAGAGAAACCATACAGATGTGATGTGTGTGGTAAGGACTTCAGTTACAGTTCAAATCTTAAACTACACCAAGTAATTCACACGGGAGAAAAACCATATAAATGTGAGGAATGCGGAAAGGGATTTAGTTGGAGATCAAATCTTCATGCGCATCAAAGAGTTCACTCAGGAGAGAAACCCTATAAATGTGAGCAATGCGATAAAAGCTTCAGTCAGGCCATAGATTTTCGGGTACATCAGAGAGTCCATACTGGAGAGAAGCCATACAAATGTGGTGTCTGTGGTAAGGGCTTCAGTCAGTCCTCTGGTCTTCAGTCCCATCAGAGAGTCCACACGGGGGAAAAGCCATACAAATGTGATGTGTGTGGAAAGGGCTTTAGATACAGTTCCCAGTTTATATACCATCAGAGAGGCCATACTGGAGAAAAACCTTACAAATGTGGAGAGTGTGGAAAAGGTTTTGGTAGGAGCTTGAATCTTCGCCATCATCAGAGGGTCCACACAGGAGAGAAACCCCACATATGTGAGGAGTGTGGTAAGGCCTTCAGTCTCCCCTCAAATCTTCGAGTCCATCTGGGTGTTCACACCAGGGAAAAGCTCTTTAAATGTGAAGAGTGTGGTAAAGGCTTCAGTCAGAGTGCACGTCTTCAAGCCCATCAGAGAGTCCACACTGGAGAAAAACCATACAAATGTGACATATGTGATAAGGACTTCCGTCACCGGTCACGTCTTACATATCATCAGAAAGTCCATATTGGCAAAAAGCTTTAGAAATGAGAAGTGTGTTACCAACTTCCGTCTGAATGCACATATTCAAGTTTTTGGAGAGTCCATGCTAGTGGTAAACCCTATAAAAGTACTGGGAGTGGAAGGGGATCTTTCTAACAAATCCATCAAGATGACATAGAATCATGAACAGGAATAGAATTCGTATTTAGGGGAGAAATAGAGCTGTGGCTCTCTTGGTAAGATCTAGTTATTATAAATGATCATCTTTCAGTGTGAATATATGCCTGAAGATAATGTGTGGAAGGATATTTGCCATATGCTAACTGGTTTTTTGGCCAGGGAGAGTTTTGGGTTATTATTCCTGTAATTGCCATTTTATACTTACAGTGATCATTATTTTCACTAAAAGCTGTAAAGCTTTGAAAAATGAATAAAATTATTAAAAATTTACTGTAGCTAAGGACTCATAGATTATTTTTTATGGTATGTAGGTTTAAAATTAAGGAATATATCCCCAGAGATGAATCTTTCGTCTTCAGAAGTAAATTTGTCTGCCATGGAGGTATATTAAAGGATGGTCAGTGCATCATCGTTTTAATAGCAAACAGAAATAGATTACCAAAGTATTTTGTGGTTTATCAATCCAGTGGCACACTATGCAAACATCAAATGGAGAAAGGTAAATTTTTAGCTGTGGATGTTGGAAGATGTTCAGAATATATTAACTTGAAAAAATAAGATATTTTATGTGATCCTATTTTGTTAAAACGTGTAGATGAATAGGTCTTTACTATAGTTCTCTCTAAATAATGGGATTTTATGTATATTTTAATGTTTCTTTAAACTTATTTTGAAATAACTTAAAACTTTCAGAAAAATTGTAGAAGTTATATAAAATCTCCCATATACTCTTTACCCAGATTAACCATTAACATCTTTGAATTATTCTCAATATGTATTTATACATAGAGTTTTGCCATATGAATATGCTACAGACATCTTTCTCCTTACACTAAATACTTAAGTGTGCTTTCCTAAGAACAAGGATGTCTTAGCTACAATATAACATTCCAGTTATTTATTTATTTATTTAGAGACTGGGCCTCATTCTGTTGCCTAGGCTGAGTACAGAGGGGTGATTATAGCTCACTGCAGCCTCTAACTCCTGGGGGCAGGCGATCCTCCTGCCTCAGCCTCCCAAGTAGCTGGGCCTGCAGGCACAGAGCACCATGCCCACCTAATTTTTAAAACTTTTATAGAGATGAGTTCTTGCTATGTTGCATAAGCTAGTGTCGAATTCCCGGGCTTAAGTGAGCCTCCCACCTCAGCCTTCCAAAATGCTAGGATTACAGGTGTGAGCCACGGCACCCAGAAGGAAAATTTATTATTGATACATAACAGTATGTAACCTACAGACTTTATTTAAATCTTACAGTTATCCCAATAATATGTTGATTTTTTTCTGCTTGAGTCCAAAGACTACACATTGCATTTAGACTCCTTTAATCAAAATTGCTACCTCTTTCATTGTTTTTAATGACCTTGATATTTTTGAGATTATTTTGTAGAATGTCTCTTAATTTGGATTTGACTGAGGTTCCCTTATAATTGGATTTAACTACACATTTTTCCATGAGGATTTGGTAAGTGATGTGCAACATGTAATATTTGTACCTATAAAGGTAACAAATTGGAACACTATTGGGGACGGTGATGTTGGGTTTTTCCATTGTAAAATTACTATTTTTTCTTTGTGATTGATAATAACAAAGGCAATTTGTGGGGAGATACTTCCTGACTCTGCAAATAGCATGTTTTTCAGTCAATTTTCCTCCACTAGTTTAAGCATTCTCTAAAAGTCTGGCCTGTATCAGTGATCACTCTGATGGTGCAAAAGGGTCATATATATATATATATATATATATATATTTTATTTTTTTTTTTTTTTTTTTTTTGAGACCGAGTTTCGCTCTTGTTACCCAGGCTGGAGTGCAATGGCGTGATCTCGGCTCACCGCAACCTCCGCCTCCTGGGTTCAGGCAATTCTCCTGCCTCACCCACCTGAGTAGCTGGGATTACAGGCACGCGCCACCATGCCCGTCTAATTTTTTGTAGTTTTAGTAGAGACGGGGTTTCACCGTGTTGACCAGGATGGTCTCGATCTCTTGACCTCGTGATCCACCCGCCTCGGCCTCCCAAAGTGCTGGGATTACAGGCGTGAGCCACCGCGCCCGGCCAAAAGGGTCGTATATTTAACCATCATTCTGTCAACACTTGTTAGATTGTGCTTCTGCTCTAAGGAAGTTTCTCTTCTGTCCCGTTTGCCCATCATGTATTTTTAAATAAATTTAAGCACATCTTTACTCTAACACAATATAATGTTCCAGGCTCATCTTGTACTCGTCCTGCCCCATCCATGGAATTTGCCATTTCTTTGGGAACTCGGATTCCTCGGCTTGAGGGATGGTAGTTAGACATCAAGATGTGGGTAATAGCTGTAATACCTGTGCTTTTTTTTTTTTTTTTAAACACTGGGGGATGAAGGAGTGAAAAGATGTATAGAAGTATATAGATAGGAAGAGAAGTAGAAGTGTAGAATTAATGAGTTCCTACTTTTATTTCCAGTTCTTAACATCATAGTGTTTTTCTTTCTAGCCTTACCCGCATTCTGTGTTGCATCTTCTCCAAGAATCAGAAATTTGTCTCCCAGTATCATTCATATATTTACTGGGGAAGGTGGATGCACACCATCTAGAACTTGGGGGTTCTGTCTTTCTAGGAAGGAGTGAATGGGAGTATTGGATGACTGATGCCAGAGATTGTTTTTGAATGGCATAGTATCCCAAACATTATAATTTTTCCCATTCTCAGGGTATTGACCCTTTAAATAAAATGTTCCAGTAGGACCATGAAAAATATCTGATAGAAATATCCAGAGATAGATACATTCAGATGAGACCCTTCCAGTCAGTGTTTCTTGCAGATACTAGTACAGTTAATGTGAAGGAATGGTTTCTTGTGAAGTATTGTGGAGCTCTCCTAGCCTGTGTCACTGAGGCCATTGATTAGTATTGCTTTACTTTATTTACCTCTCATTCTCTTCTTAACATTCTCAGAGGTAGTTTGACAGAGTTCTCAAACCATATTCCTCTACTGCTTCTTGAGAAGACCAAGGCATTTGAGGACAAACTTGTGTTAGAGACCAAATCAGGATATTGGTAACAAAGCAGTAGAGTATAATAGAAAGCAGACTCTCAGCCAGGCACAGGGACTCACATCTATAGTCTCAACTACTCAGGAGGCTGAGGTGAGAGAATTACTTGAACCCAGAAGTTTGAAGTTATACCTGCACCACTGCATTCCAGCCTGGGTGACAGTGAGACCCCATCTTGAAAAAGCCGGCTGGGTATAGTTGCTCACACCTGTAATCCCAGCACTTTGGGAGGCCAAGGTGGGTGGATTACCTGTGGTTAGGAGTTCGAGACCAGTCTGGCCAACATGGTGAAACCCTGTCTCTACTAAAAATACATAAAGTTAGGTGTGGTGGTGGGTGCCTGTAATCCCAGCTACTTGGATGAGGCAGTAGAATTGCTTGAACCCAGGAGGTGGAGGTTGTGGTGAGCTGAAATTGCACCATTGCAGTCTTATCTAGTCCAGCCTGGGCAACGAGTGAAATTCCATCTCAAAAAAAAAAAAAAAAAAAAAAAAGCCAACTGTAGAATTACTTTCTTGTTCAGTGCGGCCATTTGCTAGTTGCATCACTGCAGACAAAATGCTTGACCTCTTTATTCCTCAGTTTGCCTTGTGTCTTCCATGTTTGATGATATCTTTTATTTCTGTTGTAAGGGTTAAAACTATATGCCTGGCATATAGAAGAGCTGTATGGTGTTAACTTATTTTCAACATAGATGTCACTATTACTAGATTTCTGCTAATTTTTATTAGAAATTTCTAAGAAAGAGATCAGTAACTATAGCCTCCTGGCCAAATCTAGACTGTGCCCTATTTTTGTACAACACGAGAGCTGAGATTTTAAATTTTAAAAAGTTATAAGAAAAAGAATATGCTACAGAGAACATCTGTGGCCCATAAGACCGAAAACATTACTGTCTGGCCCTTTTTAGGAAGTTTGCCATTCCCTGGTCTAAGCAAATTTTAGTTTCTCGGAAACCTTGCTTCTGAGATGCATACTTACTACAGATACGAATTATCTCAATTCAGCACCTCTCACATCTTTTAGATTTAAAAACAAATGTTTGAATTGACATAAGATGACACAAGAACATTTTTTATAGAAAATTAGGACCACATATGAAGCAATGCGGTATATGTCCAATGTGTAGTTAATCTGCAATTCTGGGAATGTTAATCTCTCTTTTTTTTTTTTTTTTGATGTAAGCAAACTTGGGTTTTACAGGCTTAAGTAACTTCCCAAAGTCAGTCAGTAGTAAATGCCACAACTACAGTTTGAACTCAGGTTTATCTTGCTGACTTTAAAGCTACTCTTAAATGGTATCTGTGTGAATTGCATTGCAATGTCAGAATTCCTAAGTTCACATTCTGTAGAGCATGCATCCCATTTCACGTGAAGTACAAATGTAAGAATGGAAAATCCTTCAAAAAGTACCAAATTTGCCTAGGAAGTCTTTTGCTACATTTCTATTCAGGCTTTTCTTGTAATAAGTCAGTAATCTAAGGCAAGCTTGTCTGACCTGCAGCCCGGGACAGCTTTGAAGTGGCCCAACACAAATTCATAAAATTTTAAAAACATTATGGGACTTTTTGCAAAATTTTAAAGCTCATCAGCTATTTTACGTGTGGCCCAAGACAATTCTTCTTCGAGTGTGGCCCAGGGAAGCCAAAAGATTGGACACTCCGATCTAAGAGGTATGTTTTGTATTTCCTATTTCCTTGATTACATTTCTGACCTCGATGCCACTAATTTTTAAATGTTTCTTTTTGTTTGATGATTGAAAAGCCTATTCTGAAAATTTAAATGTTGAAAAAGAACAGCCATGTTTGAAGCTTTAACCTAGCAGTTGTAACCTAACTAATGTACCTCTTCCAACTGTAATTTTGCAGTCCACTTGAGGAAGGAATCCCTTTTAGGTCTTATCTGAAACTATTTACTTGGTAGTTCCCCCACAAAAATCATGCTTCTTTAAAAATATGCAGCTTTTTCTAGGCATGGTGGCTTATGCCTGTAATTCTAGCACTTTTGGAGGGTGAGGTGGGAGAATGGCTTGGGTCTCGGAGTTCAAAACCAGCCTGGGCAACATAGTGAGACCCCATCTCTACAAAAAAATTTTTTAAAAAATTAGCTGGGCATGGTGTTGTGGACCTGTAGTCCCAGCTACAGGCTGAGTGGCTGAAGTGGGAGGATTGCTAGAGCCCAGAAGGCTGAGGCTGCAGTGAGTTGTAATGTTGCACTGCACTCTATCCTGGGGCCCTGACT